GGCAGCCCGGGCCCTGGGGAGGAGCCGCTGGGCCGCGCGCAGCTGTCCCGCGCACAGCTGTCCCCGCCGGGCGACGCGCCGGCCGAGGGCCTGAGCCCCGGTCTGCGGCCTAACGGGCAGACCAAGCCGCTGCCCGCGCTCAAGCTGGCCCTCGAGTACATCGTGCCCTGCATGAACAAGCACGGCATCTGCGTGGTGGACGACTTCCTAGGCAAGGACACCGGCCAGCAGATCGGCGACGAGGTGCGCGCGCTGCACGACACCGGCAAGTTCACGGACGGCCAGCTGGTCAGCCAGAAGAGCGATTCGTCCAAGGACATCCGCGGCGACCAGATAACCTGGATCGAGGGCAAGGAGCCGGGCTGCGAGACCATCGGGCTGCTCATGAGCAGCATGGACGACCTGATCCGCCACTGCAACGGGAAGCTGGGCAACTACAAGATCAACGGCCGGACCAAAGTGAGTGGCCAGGCGGCCAGGGGCTCCTGCCTGGGGGTCCCTGACCGAGGCGGGCTGCCGCCGCTCCGACCCTTTGTGGCCCGCGGACCTCGGCTCCCAGAAGGAAGAGGGTGGGTCTGGAGCTAGGTGTCCTTTGGCCATGGCCGGTTCTAGGCGTCCACTCTCCCCCACTGGTGTCCACTTGTGAACTTCGCTGCTGCATGCACGCTCTTCCGGTTGCTAATGACCTCTACACTCTCCCTTTTGCTTTGCTGTTTTGAAGGTTTTTCCTCCTTCCTTTGCACCCGCAGCCACACACGGCAACCTTATTGGTGAGTTAGCTGCCCAATGGGGAGTATCAGGGCTCTCCCCGAGCAGGTGTGAGCGCTGCGTTCAGGTCCCCGCGGCCGCCTGGCCGTTCATGAGATTGGCTGAGACAGGGCCGGCATTTGGTTAAGGATCCGCCACCTGGGCTCAAAAAGAGCTGTAAAGCGAGCGTTGCGTGAGGGGGACAGTGCTTATCCAGGACGCGCTGGACTCCCCCTCCGGGAGGGAGATGGAGGCCCTCCTGGCTGGGAAGAGGTATTTCCGCTTGCACACAGCTGGGGTAGGTAGGTGACATTTTTAGCCTAGATTTCCTTTATTGGCTTTGTTTGTTTAATCCCTCTTTTGGGGAGCTGGTCTGTTGCTTCCTGGAAAAGTACCGGGAATTGAAGCAGGAGGGTTCTTTGGACCGTCTTAATTGAATGAGATTTTTGGCTTGTTCTTTGTCATCCGCGATTTCCCCCAGAGCTCTTGCGTTCCTCCAGAGTCAGGTCCTCCTTCCTTCCAGGCGGTGAGTACACACTTTCTCCCTTAGAGCTGTGTCTTGCAGCCCTTGTTCCTTTTTACCTCCTAGATCTTTATCATCTCTTCACACTTAGCCCAGCTCCACCCACTTACTCTCCTCTCTGCCCCAGTCCCAGAGTTTGGGATGTTGTCTTGCAAGATCCTTGTACCTGCGTGTTTGTGTACAGCTTGGCCTGTATGTTTGACCTTCAGCTTTAACAATCACTGTGATGCCCACATGGCCTCAAAGACTGCACAAGACAGTGAGGAGCATGCCAGAGCATTGAGATTTTGGGGGGACAGTTACCACTGCAGAGACCTGTGGCATGCGGTTTAAATAAGTGTAATATTAACTCAGAGGAAGAAATGTACGTGACAAAACCTTGGCTTTCAGGATCTTTAATGTCCATTTACATGATAAAACACTTTGTGATGGATCAAATCTGAATGTGGCCAGAGCTGGAAAGAAGTAGCTTGCGGGAGTTGCTAAAGGGCTCTGAGACTGACCAGCTACCTGGTTGGCGTATATGCTCTAGATGGGTACATGGAGGAGATAATGGGCTCAGTCTTTGCTTACATTCTGTTCTAAGCTAATTCATCCAAGTGAAGCTGTTCGCACTCTTCCTGCTTCTGCCTGCCTTCCTCTGGGAGGGGACACGGCTTGGCCCTGAGTGCTTCTGTGGGGAGACGGAGGGAAACAGCCATCCCATCCCAGGAGGACCAGACGTGGAGGGAACACAGCTTGACCCTGAGTCTGTGGGGAGACTGGAACACAGCTGTCCTATCTCAGGAGTACCAGGTGTGGAGGGGACACAGCTTGACCTTGAGTGCTGCTCTGGCGAGACTTGTGGGACTCGGACGTCCTATCTCAGGAAGACCAGGTGTGGAGGCGACACGGCTTGGCCCTGAGTGCTGCTGTGGGGAGACTGAGGGACAGCCATCCCATCCCAGGAGGACCAGGCGTGGAGGGGACACAGCTTGCCCTGAATGCTGCTCTGGGGAGACTATGGGACTCTGATATCTTATCCCAGGAGGACCGTGGAGGGGACAGCTTTCATGTTCTCAGTCATTTGATTGCACAAGTCATGTGATGTGGGACCAGTGGAAGGAAGGATCTGTTTTAAACTCTTCAGCTGTCTGCTTAGGCTTGCCTGCTGGTAGGGAGCGTGCAGTAGCCCAAAGGCAGGAGATCCAAGCCTGGCGGCGACCACTCATCAGGAGGAATGCGGGCAGCCTCTGAAAACCCACCAGCAGGTCAGCTCTGAGTTAGTTCCGATTGGACAAAGCACAATTACCTAATAAGCCACAGCAGCGTCCTACACAGCCCACACCTGCCAGAGGAAAGGTCAGTGACGTGGAAGAGCGTGGTTTTGCTGCTGTGGAGCGACTGGATCCTGGTGGCTTCTGGTTCTGTGTGCCTGCCCAAGCTGGCTGTGAGGATGCTGCCCTGCTTGTATACACTCTTTGTCAGTCCCAAGGAATTCTGCCTGGAGCTCTGGTAGCCTAGTGGCAAGAAGCTGCACTGCAATCCTGAAGGCATGTGGTTCAAGGCCACCAGCTTCTCTGAGGGAAAAGAATAGGTAGACACCTCCAGTGCAATTAACTGCCTCTGAAAATCTGCTCGAGGGTCAGCTGTGGGTCAGTTCTGACAACAAGGCGTTCTGCATCAATGCTGTTCTTCATTTTTGAACTTTGATATTTTTTTTTTGATTTCTCATGTGAGGATTTTGTATTTTCCCTATCTTACATAGCTGTTTATTGGTCTCAGTCTTTTAGCCTATCAGAAAAAAAAACTTTTCAAATAATTGCCTGTTTTTTCAGTCTGATAAGAAATTAGTCCCAAAGAAATTAAGTGACATGTTGAAGGTCACAAAGTTGACATTTATTTCCACGTGTCTTTATATCTGCATCTCACATAAAATATACATATCCCTACTTAATTAACTCTGGTGTATTTTATGCTATTTTTAGGATTGGTTGTTGTTGTTATTGTTATGTGCCATCGAGTCGCTTGCGACTCATAGCGATGCTAAGTACAACAGCCCTAAACCCTGCTCTGTCCTGTGCCAATCACACTGCCTCTGACACACCCATCCCGATTACCCCAGTCACTGAATCAATCCACCTCATAGAGGGCCTTCCCCTCCTGCACTGTCCCTCCACCCTACCAAGCATGATGTCCCTCTCCAAGGACCAGGGTCTCCTTATAACATGTCCAAAGTATGTCACACGAAGCCCCAGAATCCTTGCCTCCAAGGAGTAGCCTGGTTTAACCCTCTCCAGGATGAATCTGTTTGTTTTCTTGGCAGTCCTTGGTACATTCAATACTCTTCTCCAGCACCACAGCTCAAAGGCATCAATTCTCCTTCTATCCTCCCTAGTCATTGTCCAACTCTCTGATGCATAACAAGTGATTGCAAAGACCGTGGCCTGTATCAGACGCACCTTAGTCTCCAAAGACACACCGTTGCTCTTGAGTACTTTAGAGAGGTACCTAACCGCAGACTTTCCCATCGCAATAACGTTTTTTGATTTCCTGGCTACTGGTGCCAAGAGTGTTGACCGTGGAGCCGAGCAAACTGAAGCTGTGAACAATCTCAATCTCTTCGCCATCCATCCTGATGCTGCCAATTGGTCCAGTGGTGAGAATCTTTGTCTTCTTGACATTGAGCCTCAGTCCATACTGAAGGCTGCAGTCCTTGACCCTCTGCAGTAAGTGCATGAGGTCCTCCTCAGTTTCAGTGAGCAGGGTTGTGTTATCTGCATTTTTAGGATATGTGTGAAAATTTGTGACTTTCTTTGTGATCCTACACTTTGGCTTGTCTGGCATTCTAGTTAACATTTTCTTCTTTGAGTTACACACACACACACAAACCCAAAAATGAGCAAGCCATTACCACTGAGTCAGGATGGACTTGTGCATTACCCTCCAGTAGGTTTTCAGAGACTGTGAATTGCATGAGAGGGAATCGCTGGTGGATTTGAACCACCTGCCTTAGGATTGACAGTTCTCTGTTAGGCCCCAGTTGCACACTTAAGTTCTACATGTGCTCTTTATTCAGCACCTTTTCTGTCCTCTCAAATAAATGTTATTTCCCCCTTGCTGTTAATGTCCAATAGAGTTGGAACGATCCATAGCTGAGCCTCCAATGGGTTTTCAGAGGCAGTTGGTTAATTGCATGGTAGCGTGCTGGAGACTGAGACTGTGAACTGCGTGCTTTTGGGATTGCAGTGCAGCTTCTTAACTACTAGGCCCCCAGAACTCCCTACCTCTCTGCCTTAGTAGGAGCCTACTTCGCCTTCTGTCTTTTTGATTTACAGGTGTTTTCTGTTTCTCACCCCTCCCCCTTCCCAGGTATACGTCTGGTGTTACTTTAGGTTGATGCACGTTTTTGTTGGAGCCTTTATCTGTGCAGACTGGGAGTTTTGCATCTGCTTCAGTTTCCACATGTGCATTTCACTCCTTTTCGTAAGGATACTATTTGTTTGCGCACTGGAAACATTGTCTGTAGAGGACTGCATTTGGATAGGTTCCTGAGGCAGGTAGCTTCCTGAGCCCTGTGCATGCCAGTTGCCTTATTCCAGCTAAAATACTTCTGTTCTAAGTAGACCAAAAAGAAAAAATAGCTGTGAACCAGAAATTCCTCTTGCCACAGTGTTCTCTGGTCCTCTGAATCACTTTGCTGTCTTTACTGGGATGTTTTACACTTCATGCTTACATTTTTCCAGAGCCAAATACCAATGAGTTCTATTTCAGAAGATAAGACGTGAGGGGAGCCCTGTTGACCCAGTGGTAAGAGGTTGTGATGCAATCCCAAAGGCATTTGAATTTGAATCCTACAGTTGCTCCACGGAAGAAGGACGGGCATTCTCTTGTGTGATTTATAGCCTCTGAAAACCCACTGGAGGGTCAGCTGTGAGTTGGTTCCGACTCGATGGCACACAGCAGCAACAATAATACATTATTTATAGTCCCTGTTTGTTCATTGAAATCAGTACAGAATTTTCATGAGTTCAGGCCTCCTCTTCCTCATTTCATGTCCCAGAGCCGGTTCTTGTACTGAAACACTATGCAGCCAAGCGCAGTTTTCCCTTATAGTCACAGAGTTTCTATGTTTATGTGTTTTTCGTTTGTTCTTCCTTCAGATACTAAGTACTTTCCACAACCTGGGTACTGTTTTAAGAGTGAGGAA